ACAATGTTTAATGTTATAAATTTGATTTACGTAATAAATAGTAGTTGTTGTGTCTTATTTTTTTATATTCTATTCATATAGTTGCTTATAAGCATTTATGTAAGGTTAGTTACTATTTATGTATACTAGAAGAGCTTGGTATACTCAAGTACTAATAGAGAAATTATTCTTAATGAATAACGTATTGCCTATCGAAACATTAGTGGTATCAGCATCAAAAAAACTTTGACTGTCAGATACGTTTACATTGTGAAAAAAGTCAACGTTTTTAACATGTTCTTAGAACGAAAAAAAGTAGTGCCTGACAGCAAAATGCATTACTTTTTGATAAGTTAATACATAGAAACAGAGGAAACACCGCGTATATAAGCAGTGTCATCTTAAAGATAAAATACATATATGATATAAAATAAGTATTTTTCAACACAAAGTAAGAAACTTTCAATTTAATAAGCGTTTGGAATGCATGGGTGTGAAAGTAACAAACCTTACAATGTGAAAAAATGACATTTATTCAGGTATCTTCGAGGCGTCGGGTAAAAAAAGCGTTTATGTTCATGTTGAAAATATTTCGGCATCATGTATATGAAACTATATGCAATCAAAATTCATGATTATTTGTTCAAAATTACCAATTTCATATTAAGATACTTTTCAACAAGTAAGTGCACCACTTTAGTGAGAAAGCGTGAATAGTGCTGGCATCAATGACAATGATCCCGAAGAACCAGAAAAATGTAACCAACACTGCAAGCCATAATTTTTAAGTGCATTGAATTTGTCCTCAACATTAAAATAATATCTTGATCAGAATGAATTGAAGTTTGCATGCTCACAAATGCAATTTAAAATCAAATACAGATTTAAGGAGAATTTTCTTGAGCTGATACAGATAAGTCATTTTTACGCGCTTGTACATTCAGATGGTTTACATACTTGATATCTTTTAGCGAAAGCTTGGCAGCTGCCCACTGCAGAATCTGATGATGTTAACCATGCCAGCTGCATGGTGTTTACCGTCAAAGTCTATTTTTGCGACGGACGCGCCCTCAGGCGCGTTCAGAGCTAAGTCATCTACACATGGGATTTCGTTGGCTACACTCGCGCAATGTGTCCTAAACCAATTAACAGCCCAAGAAATAGTACATGAATTTGATCCTTCAAAACTCCCATACTTTGTCTGGATATCTTAATGTCTTCCATATTTAGCCTTTTCAATTTCAAATTAAGTTATCCAAGTTAAAATATGAACGTATATTATTGATAAAAACGTTGTAGTCCCGTAGTATTATTGCGCAATATGCAAATTACTGCTGAAACGATTTACCGCTGTCGAAAAAGTAGGACAGCAAATTATACTACAATAAAGGTGTAACCTCTGAGTTCCAAGACATTATTAGTAGGAAATAAATATTTCTACATTATACAAAACATTATTATTAACAAATCAAAAGTTTTTCGTGACTCTAGGATAACTCGCGCATTAATAAAAGAAGAACTATTTTCGTGACTCATACCGCGGGTTTAGCTGAATATTCAGCAGTTATTGATATATTAGATACAGTACAATGGCTAGTATAAATATCTATTTTTGAAAATGCATGTAAGACACTTTACCGCCATGCAGTCTTTCATGGTAAGGAAGTTATAATATCAGTTCTACTTCCGATTCTTGTGGTTTGTTTACATATTTTACTAGGTCATGATATGAGTTAACCTTCGCTATTCTAAAAATAGATTCTGCTTCACCTGTTCTGATATTTGGACAGGCGATTAGGAAGAACACATTAAACATGTAATTAATAAACCAGCGGATTGTAATGCAATACTTTTAGAAATGCTATACAATTGTAAGAAGCAAACAAGTTAAAAATGGAATTTAGTGTGAAGTTGAAAAGGACAACTAAACACTGTAGTGCTTAAGTGACATTTAAATTAAAATAAAAACGATGTGCTCTGGCCTCTACATCTTTACCTTGTAAATAAAAAAAAATCTAAGAAATACACTATTAATTGCTGATGATTTTAACCAATTTTTTTAATGAGACATATCCAAGAGAAATAAAAATACAAATGACTTATATTTTATTGTCTGTATGCCCACTATGATATAACACGAAGCAATTCTAAATAGCATTCTCAAATGTATAATGTATTATGTTTGAAGTTTATTTGCCTGGATTTATTCTAGAAATATTTCGTTGATAGTTTTTTTTCTATTTACATATCATTTCTTAGAATAAATCGATAAGGACACTGATTTACAAGTTTGACCAGAGTTTTTAGGCATAAATTTCATTCTGTATTTAAGTACGACGTGCTTTGAAAGTAGAAAATCTGAATTATATCAATTTGGGACACAAAATATATTGCTCTACAAATCTCGAACTTGTATGGAACAAATTTTCTCTGTTATATATTTTGTGTTTTGTTTTTGTTTTGTTTTGTTTTTGTTTTTTTTTCTAAAAGAAGCCTTAATGTCTCTCCGGTTGCATGTCCGTCGCATTCAGTGCTGCAGCACTTTGATTATTTATAGCTATCTTCCAATAATGTCAAACCACTGGCAGTGACGTAGACATGTCTGCATATCAAAATCGCAAGAAAGTTAAAGAGTTCACAGTTGTTTAAAAAAGGATAAAAGAAGAATAATAAAAATGTTAAAAAACAGGGGGACTGAAAAAATATGGTGAGACATGCTCAATGCTAACTACAGTGTATGGTTGCTCTGGGATAGGGAGTTAGGCAACTGTACATTTTCACTTGTGGTTCTTGTCTTAGATAGGCAAGTAGTGTTTCTCTAAGTATGCAGGAGTCCTGATCACTAAACTGTAAACAATAATTATGGCTGGGGCATATATTAGTTTTACCCTGTTCCCTCATTCCGTTCTTCTGTTGTTTTGTCATCATCAGTTTCCGTTCATTATCTTTGTAACGGTTGCACACATTCAACTCAAATTTGACATATGGATATGTCATGAGAAAATACATGTCAAGATCGAATTTGGTCATTGTTCAATGATTTTTGGCAGAGTTATGCCCCTTTTACTTTGAAAATAACATCCATTCATTATCTCCCCAACGGTATTACACATTCAACTCAAATTTGACATATGGATACAGCAAAGAAATGTGCAGGTCAAGTTTGAATTTTGGTCATGGTTTGATGATTTTTGACAACTCAAATTAAAGATATGGATATGTCATAAGAATGCATTGGTCAATTTCAAATTTGGTCATGGTTTGATGATAGCTGACAGAGTTATCCCTCTTTAACTTTGAAAACAAAATCAGAAATTTTAAGTTTCTGTTTATTATCTCCCCAATGGTTGTACACATTCAACTCAAATTTGACATATAGATACATCTTAGGAATAAGCAGTTTAAGTTTGAATTTGGTCATGGTTCAATGATTTTTGGACAAAGTTATCTTTCTTGAATGTTGGAAAAATTTTGAATTTTCAGTTTCAGCACTCATACTTTTGTGGAAATGTATGTAGCCATTATTTTGGCTACAAATATGCAATATGCAATTTACAAAAGGTTAATACTGAATAGTTTCAGTGCCTTGAACTTTGTATAAAAATGGTTTGTGTAAACATTGAATAGTTTTAAGGGCTTTGAACTTCAAAAGAAAAAAATAATGTGTGCAAACAAATTTGGAACTAAATATTTTAACATCTGAAATTTTGGCTGCATGCGGGGGCATCCGTGGCGTGAGTCTGACGACACATTTCTAGTTATTTTTCATTTACAAATTAATGTCTTAAATTGTATAAATTGTTTATGTTTCATTGTGTTTCACTTTCTGACATTCAATAGACATGAAGTTTAAAATCATTTGTCATACCATGATATGTTTGAAGTTTTATACATTGTCTATGTGTATAATAATAATAAAAGATATGTAATCTTGGTATTGCCATTTAACTACCTCATATTAAACGTTAAACGTTTTGATACTGCAAATAGCAAATATTGCTAAATTCGAACTCTGCTAAAATTTTATTTGATTGAAAAAGAAAAATATTAAATGTTTTTAAGTATATCATTATGAAATAATGATAATCCCAATGTTTTTTAAACAACAAAACCCATTTATATATTCCTGCACATTTGAAATCCAACCGTTTAATCTATAACAATGCACAGTGCACTCAAAATTAATAGCTATTTGATTTTCCTAAATTCATAGTGTTATGTGTGAATTATTATGTACTGGTGTTAAAAATGAACCGTCTATAAAATTTGTCATAGATTTTTCGGACAACCCTCTTGTCTATTGTTTTCCTTTAGCAATAACAACCAGTAATGATTTAACATGTGCTTTATTTCAGATGCAAATATGAACTTTGTGATATCAGTTCATAATTTAGATTTTAATGATCTGCATTTCATTTATAGTTTACAATTTTGCTTGTTTTTGGCATATGTCTGCTTGTTTAGGAATGTAAATGGTTTTGTAAGAGCTCTTATTACTTTCTGTAAAACTTTCATTGTGTTTTCTCAACTTCTCAACATTTCTATCTTTTTTCAGATAAACACATTAAATCTTCAGGATTGTGGCTTCAGCCATAATTCTTTCAATGCAAACTTAACAAACATTTAATAAGTATGTGATAAAGGCATATTAATCATAATTTCTATTTGAAACCTATCAAAATATATATGTCCCTTCTGTTTGTCAATTGAATGGCAACATTTAAGATTGATAAGTTTGCTTGTCTAGTCGGTTAAGATGCATTCCAGTCAAAGTCCAGTTGTTACGGTCATACCATGTCCCACGTACTTTGATAAATTAAAGTTGTACATTTGATAGATGTTTAATCATTTTGGATAGTTAATAGTTTGTCCCAGTGATAATTCACCCATAACAACTTGACTCACATTAAAAAAGACTGCCTCACAAATGTGACATTTAGATGCTTATAGGATACATAGTCCTTTCTATACTAAGCACATAAATATTCAATATAATAAGTAATTTTTCCCTTTTGTTTTAGGTAAGAAAACATGAATTCAAGCAATGGAGGACCAACCCCAAAGAGAATGAAGTTTTCTCAAAATGGAGGTATAATTATCAGTTTCATAAACTTGATAATGCAGAAAACAGCATTAATCAAATTAAACATCTCCATTAGTTTGAGCAAAGTACAATGTGCTCATGCATAAATTTGGGATGTTGTCAACTATATTTTGTTTCATTTATGCTCAGATGATGTCGTAGGAAGAAAAAAATTAAAGTGTGATTCATTAGCTACATTACTTGTACATTATATACCCTCTTTGTTGAAGTTCTCCTGTTTAATCAACAGATCTAATTTAGATATCAGAGTAGCTTTTAGAACTAGAACTGGTTTTGAAAATGAAATTTAAAATTAATAAAACTTTGTTCTGGATCTTGCAAATGGTATCTGGTAGACCTTAAACCTGTGATGAATTGTAGAGTATTTTGTATAAATTATATGTTTATTTTTGTAACAGATGATCATTACACAAAGGTTAGAGAAGAGCGTTTACAGTTGCCAATACGTCCAGCTCGTAACAGACTGATACATCAAGTACAGAAACATAATTCTGTTATCATTATAGGCGAAACAGGGAGCGGAAAAACAACACAGATTCCACAGGTTAATACTGCATTGTAAAATGCTATTAGTTTATACACCAGAAGGTAACTTTGGCTATATAATGAGATGGCACTTATCTGTCCAGGCTACTTAAACTAAATAGGGAGCCATCTAAATATAAACAAAACAACTGAGGACAATAGACTTTATTTAGTAACAATAGAAAAAGGGGTCATGGCCATTTATAACATAGTAAGGAGGAAGGTCACGGCTAGTAGATGATCCCAATTTATTTTATGGTGATGTGGTCAAGGTCAAAGTGATACATTATGTACTTAATGAAAAATCTTTAATGACTCAACAATAATTAAAAATGAAGAAGCCTAGCTTTGTGAAAGTCGGTCTTGACATTGGTCAGTAGAAGACACATATTGACGTTGAGATCATTAGGTCAAAGTTCAAGGTGGCAATGACACTTACTGGAAAATACTTGTCTGGAAAAAGCTTAGGTTTTTTTTAACTAGTTCGGGACATTGTTCATAGTCATAAGATCACCTCTGTTGATTTTGAGGTTGTTATGTCAAAGATCAGTGACATTTTCATTATGCCCCCGCCATGTAATGGCCGGGGCATATAGTGTTACCCTGTTCCGTCATTCCGTCGTTCTGTCATTCCGTCATCATCAGTTTCCGTTCATTATCTTAAGAACGGATGCACACATTCAACTCAAATTTGATATATGGATATGTTATGAGAAAATACAGGTCAAGTTCGAATTTGGTCATGGTTCGATGATTTTTTGCAGAGTTATGCCCCTTTTACATTGAAAATAATATGAAATTTTCAGTTTCCGTTCATTATCTCCCCAACGATACAACACATTCAACTCAAACTTGACATGTAGATATGTCATGTGAAAATACAGGTCAAGTTCGAATTTGGTCATGGTTCTATGATTTTTGGCAGAGTTATGCCCCTTTTACTTTGAAAATAATATGAAATTTTCAGTTTCCGTTCATTATCTCCCCAACGGTACAACAGATTCAACTCAAACTTGACATATAGATATGTCATGAGAAAATACAGGTCAAGTTCGAATTTGGTCATGGTTCGATGATTTTTGGCAGAGTTATGCCCCTTTAACTTTGAAAACAATATGAAATTTTCAGTTTCTGTTCATTATCTCCCCAACAGTACAACACATTCAAAGGAATGCGCAGGTCAAGTTCAAATTTGGTCATGGTTCAATAATTTTTGGCAGAGTTATGCCCCTTTCACTTTGAAAATAATATGAAATTTTCAGTTTCTGTTTATTATCTCCCCAACAGTACAACACATTCAACTCAAATTTGACATATAAATATGTTTTTGGAATGCCCAGGCCAAGTTCGAATTTGGTCATGGTTCAATGATTTTTGGCAGAGTAATGCCCCTTTCACTTTGAAAATAATATGAAATTTACAGTTTCTGTTCATTATCTACCCAAGAGTATTACATATTCAACTCAAATTTGACATATGGATATGTAAAAGGAATGGGCAGGTCAAGTTGGAATTTGGTCATGGTTTGATGATTTTTTGGCAGAGTTATGTCCCTTTCACTTTGAAAATAATATAGATACATCTTAGGAATAAGCAGTTTAAGTTTGAATTTGGTCGTGGTTCAATGATTTTGGACAAACTTATCTTTCCTGAATGTTGGAAAAATTTTGAACTTTCAGTTTCAGCACTCATACTTGTGTGGAAATGTATTTAGCCATTATTTTGCTACAAATATGCAATATGCTATTTTTAAAAGGTTAAGACTGAATAATTTCAGTGCCTTGAACATTGTGTGAAAATGGTTTGTGTTAACATTAAAAAGTTTTAAGAGCTTTGAACTTAAAATGAAAAAAAATAATTTGTGCAAACAAATTTGAAACTAAATATTATAACATCTGAAATTTTGGCCGCATGCGGGGGCATCCGTGGCATGATGACACATTTCTTGTTTCATTTGAAATCGTAAGTACCATACACACTAAATTTATCGATAACAGTCATATTCTATATAGAAAAAAAATAAAATCAAAAACAAAAAATTTTTGGTTCATAACATTCAGTTAAAAAGGAAGTAAAACGAAATACTACACTTTGAAAAAGGTCGCGAAAAATCAGCCAACTAAGAATGTAACAATGATCCAAACATCCGGATGTATCTGGATGTCTGATTCGGTTATCTGGATGACCATTTAGGCTCCAGATGACATCCCTAAATAATAGCCCTGGGGTCAAAATTGGCCTGCACCAGGGGGGCATGAGTTTTCCTTATCTGTATATCGTAAAAACTTGAAAAAAATCTCCTCTGAAACCAAAAATGCTAGCACTTATATATTTGGCATGAATAAGTTTCCTTATACAGTTAAAACTTGAAAAATTTCTTGTCTGAAACCTCAGATGCTTAGAGCTAAGATCTTTTGCATGAAATATTGTGTAGTGGGTCTTTTTTCAAATTATAGCCCTGGGGTCAAAATTGACCCCACCCAGTTGGGTTATGGATGTATATGTATGTATATTGTAAAAACTTGAAATTTTCTTATCTGAAACTGCAAAGGCTTAGAGCTAAGATATTTTTCAGGAAACATTGTATAGTGAGTCTCTACTAAGTTTGATGAAATTATACTGGTTTCCTAGCAGTTTCCGGCCACAAATCGCACTTTTTAACAAATAAAATAAAAATCAGTCTACAGAGGGGTACAAAACTTGTGACAGGACAAAGTTAGGTACCTGTCCAGCATTGCCATGTGCTTAATGTTGCACTTTCATTTTACTTTTTAATTTGAATATAGGCCTGAAACATAACACCTTTTTTCACCTTTATTCAAAAATTCATAGCAGTTTTCCGGACCTTTTTTATTTTGAATACAGAGCTCCAGATAGCGTGCGTATAAGCGTAAAATACGCATAGAAAATCTAAAATACGCATCACTTTCAAAATTCATGCGTCGCATTACGCACAACAAAATAAAAATACGCTCGTATGTCAAAATTTATGCGTGAAAGAATAGAAGTGTAAACATTTGATATGTAGAAAGAAAATGTTTCTAGCATAAAAGTACAATATATTTCCATTTTATTGCATTGAAAACTAAAAATTCTGTTGTCAACAACGCATGCTAAAAACGAAAGTAGCAGGAAATACAGAAGGGAGGTAACTCCCGTAGATCAACCTGTGAAATTATTGATGAAATTTGTGCCAGATAATCATCTTAGGAGTTAACACAGTATTAAGTTTGTTTAGGCATCTATTGACACGTTATGCCTCAATATAAACAAAAATATATTTTAATTTCTTTAACTTTTGTTGTTGGAACAAAATAACATGTTTTTCACCTGCAGTTTTGTACTCAATATTTTCGTACCCAGTCTACAGTTACGGACAATTTTCTCTCAGACCAATACTTTTTTTTAAGGAAAGATAAAAAAAATCTTGTTTATTTTTCTTTAATTCTAATTTCAACTATAATTGTTCAAACTGGAGTACATGATAAGGTACCGTACATGCCAACAGAAATAAAGAAAGAAAAATATTGACTCCTAGAATATAAAATAATTTCAGGGCTTCCACTAGTGGAAGTTTGGGAGTCATTTACTCCTTCATTTTGGCTTGTGACTTCCAAAATCTAATACTTTTCCTTCTTTACCTATAAAATGTGACTTCCAATATCAGAGATTTTGAAGTCTTTGACTTCCAAATTTTGAAAATGGAAGCCCTGATAATTTTGCTGTGTATCCTAAACTTGAGTTCCAGGAAGTCTGACTTTACACATCATGTTTTGTATTGTTTCACTTTAAAACCAGTATTTAATTTGTAAAAAGTTTTTCTAAAAAACAAACAAACAAAAACAATAAGTTTAATTTGTTTATAAAAAATGCAAAATGCTTTTTTGACAGATTTTGCCCCTTAAGTTTTTCAGACTTTGCATTTTACCCCTCAATCTAGATTTTGAGGGGTAAAAACCCCTTGGCCAAAAAAATTATCTGGAGCTCTGTCAGAATATAATTCAGTACCATAAAGCAATGTTAAGATGGTTTTACAAGACAAACAGAACTTCCCAACCTTGTCCGTGTCGTCAGCAACAATATTTTCCGAAGTATTGATTTACCTAAAATGGGGTCTTAGTTATTGCGCATGGATACTCAAACCAGAATTCCCCAGGTGTTACTTATTTTTGAAAGTCGCAAGTTCTCTATGTAACTTTAAATAACAGGCAAAAACTTCTAAACATATAAATTGTTGTACTATTTTAAATGCTGTTTAGCATTGAAAACAAAAGTCTCTCTGATTGACGAAGTAATGTGGATGCCTTACTGGTAAAAATAGACTGTACTGGGCGAAGATGATAAACGGCCGGAAAACTGCTAGAGGACGGAAACTGCTAGGTAACCAGTAGCCCTGGGGTTAAAATTGACCTCACCCAGTTGGGTCATGGATTTTCCCTATTCATGTTTGTATATTGTAAAATCGTGAAAAAAAATATTCTCTTTTGAAACTGAAATATTCTCTTCTGAAAGCTTAGATATTTGGGATGATTAAGTTTGACTAATGTTTACAAATATATTTACCCACATCTTTTAATTGGTATATTTCAGTTTTTATATGAAGCAGGGCTGCACAGGAATTCAGTCATTGCTATAACACAGGTAAGTACATAAGTTACAATCTTTTCTTTAGGTGAATTGTAATGGGAGATTCATAAATATGTATACTAGCATATGATATGTTTGCATATAGCATTGTAACACCAAAACCTGAAGAAGAAAAAAAAAATGTTTTTTCCTGTATTATTGTTTCCTACCTGTTTAAAACTCAGTCATAATTGCAGATGTTTAGAAAATTCAACATCAAGAAAAATTAAAAATTTATCAAAATGATTCTTAATGGGGCTTCACTGAGGTTTTTAACATTATGAGACTGACATTTTTTGCAAGTATTGTACCATTTTATGGAGGCATGGATTTAAAACTTGTGTGCAAATTATTAGATCATTCACTCACTCTGTTTTTTTCAGAACAGTTATTTGAAGTCTGCATTTAAAATAAAAAACATTTAAAAGCATTTTAATACAGGCTTAGAATTGCTCCAAAAATCAATTTTCAATTTAGTTCTGAGTATCCAAAGGTGACCATGATTCGTTACCCTATGCATTTTACTGTTTGATACAATTAATTTTCTATTGATCCAACTGTTCTATGTTGAAGAAATTGGCAGGTACATTAGATTTACTTTAATGTTTCAAAACATCTAACTGTTTTCTTTTTTAACGAACATTTTTGAGACTTTCTGACATACACAGTAAGGGTGTTGACTCTTAGGACAGGGATTTAGGGCACCCATCAATTTATTTCATTATCATATGTGCCTGTTGATTTTTGTTGGTATTTTAAGTTTTATGTTTGTAAACATCAGTGGTCAGTGGAGGTCCTTTAAAGCAGCACTGTTCATATCTTTATTGATTTTCTATAAAACTTAAAAACAGTTATAATGAAAAAAATGTCAAGTTTGCAAATCAAGTGATGTAACCTAGACTTAAACCATTACTATCTGACAGAAATTGCCACAATATGCAGAAATTATTTTACTCAGTAACAAGGAAACCTAACTTGTGATAAAGATTGTAAATTCTGTCATGTTCTGCTTTAATATATTCAAAGTTTCAACTAAAATAAGAATTTTCACATTTCTTTAACAATGATTATAATTATCTTTAGTTTAATTTTTTTAACAATTTATTTTACTGGAAGCTTGCCACTTGAAATAGTCTTGTAGATCTGATCAAGCTGAGGAGTTATATATAAATAAAAATTTATCTTACTATATACATTTTGTACATGTATATAAAACTGATGAGGTTTTATTTTTCAGCCTCGAACAGTTGCAGCTATAACAGTGTCTCAGAGAGTGGCTTTAGAGAAAAGATCTGACATGGGAGATTTGGTAATAAAACATGTACAAGAATTATAGATATCATCCATTATTTACTTTGTTGCAGATTGGGTTATAATAAGATAGTTACATTATACATGTAACAGTCATAAAAATCATGTTCAAGATTCTACTTAACATTTGTACTAATACCGTTTATTTTCAGTTGTTTAAAGATGAAATCAGAGACTATGGACTTGATTGTTTTGTCCCTAACAAAGGGTGTTGTCTGGAATTTTTTTATCCCTAACAGAAAGTGTTGTCTGGAATTTTTTATTCCTAACAGAGAGTGTTGTCTGGGTTTTCATGCTCCTTGAAAAAATTCGGGGGAGCATATAGTCGCTGGGTTTTCCGTCCGTCAGTTGTCCGTACGTATGTCCCGAATTCGTGTCCTGCCCATAACTTCGCTATTTGAAGTCCAATTTTACATCTATTTCACAGAAATGATCACCATATACGACGTGTTGCGCGCAACATTTGTGTCGCTACCTTGAAGGTCAAGGTCACAGCATGACCTTGCAGCAAAATCGTGTCTCTTGTTTTATCCCTAACAGAGAGCATAGTCTGGAAATTTTGTCCCTTACAGAGAGCATAGAGTAGAAATGTATGTCCATAACAGAAAGTGTAGACTTAAAATTTTGTCCATAACAGAGACCATAGAGTAGAAATGATTATCCCTAACAGAGAGTGTAGGGTAGAAATTTTTGTTCCTAACAGAGACTGTAGACTGGAAATTGTTGTCCCAAACATAAAGACTATAAATTTATATCCGTAACTGAAAGTGTAGACTGGAAATCTGTGTCCATTACAAACAGAGTAAACTAAAATCTGTGACAGTAACAGAGATGTGGACTGGAAATATGTGTCAGTAACATAGTGTAGACTGGATATCTGTGTCAGTAACAGAGAGTATTGACTGGAATTCTGTGTCCATTACAAACAGAGTAAACTAAAATCTGTGACAGTAACAGAGATTGTGGACTGGAAATCTGTGACAGTAACAGAGATTGTGGACTGGAAATCTGTGTCAGTAACATAGTGTAGACTGGGAATCTGTGACAGTAACAGAGAGTGTAAATTGGATTTCTGTGTCCATTACAAACAGAGTAACCAAAATCTGTAACAGTAACAGAGAGTGTGGACTGGAAATCTGTGACAGTAACAGAGAGTGTGGACTGCAAATCTGTGTCAGTAACAGTGAGTGTGGACTGGAAATCTGTGACAGTAAGAGAGTGTGGACTGCAAATCTGTGACAGTAACTGAGAGTGTGGACTGCAAGTCTGTGACAGTAACAGAGAGTATGGACTGGGAATCTGTGTCAGTAACAGAGAGTATGGACTGGGAATATGTGTCAGTAACAGAGTGTGGACTGGGAATCTGTGACAGTAACTGAGAGTGTGAATTGGAAATCTGTGTCCATTACAAACAGAGTTAACTAAAATCTGTGACAGTAACAGAGTGTGGACTGGAAATCTGTGACAGTAACAGAGAGTGTGGACTGCAAATCTGTGACAGAGACAGAGATTGTGGACTTGAAATCTGTGACAGTAACAGAGAGTGTAGACTGGAAATCTGTGACAGTAACAGAGAGTGTGTGAAATGGAAATCTGTATACTTGAAGACTAATATAATTATGTTCATTTCATGTCCTTTGGCTTTATTTTAGAGCCTTGTAAGTTAAAGGAGGCAGGAAAGTGTTAATTCTGACAATAAGTCATATTTAGTATAAAGTTTTCAAGTTATCGTGTATATTCTTTCCAGTTATAATGTGATATGTTATGATAAATTATATCAAACAGTTAAGTATATACTATGCGCAAATTTGATATAAGAAAATATTGATAATTGCTACATAGTCTCTTTCTAAATATAAAATAAACATGTTTTGACTTCACAGAAAGTAGATATGTTAAAAATTTACTCACTATAGGTGGTCACACATTATATCAGAGGATATCTCATGTATATATTTTATTTATGCTATTTAACAACAGAAACATTTATGGATGCTATTTTGTTTTCACAAAATTGCATTAGTCTTGTTGTGTATTTAATCTCTATGGAGATTAAACAATCGGCGATGAATTTCGGTAATAAACAATTAAATATTTTAACATTTTTAAAACGGGGGCAAATGTCTGCCCGGGGGGGGGGGGGAGCATATTTTCGCCCTTTCCAAAGATATTAGAGGGCAATTGTCTGCCCTTGCAAAAAAAGGGGCAAAGGTCTGGGGGAGGGGGTGCATCTGTTTTTGGGGCAATTGTCCGGATACCAATTTAGTTATGGAGAAATAGGTTAGAATTACTACAGAACCTAGGAAAAGTGTAAGATAACTGTCTGTCTGTCTGTATATGCTTAGACTAGTGTTTTAAACTAGTGGTGTAAATTTGCAAAGTGAATGTTAATTTAGGAATTTTACTACTGTATTACTGTATATATTACAGGTAGGATATCGTGTAAGGTTTGATGACACTACTTCAGAAAGAACAAAGATCAAATATATGACTGATGGTATGTTACTGAGGGAGGCTATATCTGATCCTTTAATGAAAAGGTTTGTGTAATTCTATATTATATGAAATGATATAAATATGCTAGGTTCTATTTCTTACCATTAGGAAAAATATACTTAGGAAAGATAAGCAACAATATTGGATATGTCATTGTTTAAAACGATTATATGGCCCAGTACAAGTGGATGTATGCTAATTTAGCAGATTAACTTTTAATACATTGTCACTTAAGGACATTTTTGGAAGTTTTCATATAGACATATAGGCAAAATTAAAACTGTTCTATTGAATTTCTTTAAACTTGGCATGTTGTTAGAATATGATAACAGAAACATTTTAAGTGAAAAAAAGAATTGGGGTCACCGTTCTCATTTTTTGAGTTATCTGCCCCTGAATCAGAATTTTCTACTTATTTGAGGTCATTTAAAGGGCAGATAACTTATACATACATAAATGAATTCTTGTTTTTACTTCTGGATAATGTTTTTCTTTTTTTATTGTTGAATACAATACATAATTACATGCAATTTCTTATTTTGTTTCTTTTAATTTTTTTTTCAATGAAAATAAAGGTACTTTAAATTCATAAAAAATAGGCCAGTTATTAAGAAAAAATGCACAAGTTCAAGAGATGAAGTGGGGAAAAAAACTATCCACTCTAAATTTGTTCATGAAATTTTGCATATTGACTAAGACGAAGGTAAGCTTCATGAAAATAAGAAGAAAATAAAAACATGTTTTGTTTCGCTTCATTGTAAATTATCTGCCCTTGAATTTAACAAAAAAAAAGTCCAATTCAAGGGCAGAAAACTCAAAAATAAGAACGATGACCCCCAAATGTTTTTCCATTTAAAATGTTTCTGTTATCATATTCTAATAACATGCAAAGTTGAAAGAAATTCTATTGAACAGTTTTAATTTTGCCTATATGTTTATCTAAAAACTCTGGAAAACGTCTTTAACATGTCAAAAGTCTTTAATACTGCCAAGAATATGACTTTTCTTGGGACCTTAACAATAAATTCTTAATTGAATAACATTTGCAGTATATAATTACCTTTGATGTTGTTACGAATGGCTAAGGTTGTTGACATCAAACTGTTTGCTTCTCACCACTGTAAGTTTAAATCTCCACTTTCATGTGAGGAAGCTATCTAGCAAGCTTATGGAATATCAGTGGGTATTCTATTGTTATAACTGATGTTGTAAATTTCCAGGTATTCTATTGTTAAAGGTGATGTTGTATATTTCCAGGTATTCTATTGTTAAAGGTGATGTTGTATATTTCCAGGTATTCTATTGTTATATATGATGTTGTATATTTCCAGGTATTCTATTGTTATAGATGATGTTGTATATTGCCAGGTTGTCTATTGTTATATATGATGTTGTATATTTCCAGGTATTCTATTGTTATAGATGATGTTGTATATTTCCAGGTATTCTATTGTTATAGCTGATGTTGTATATTTCCAGGTATTCTATTGTTAAAGGTGATGTTGTATATTTCCAGGTATTCTATTGTTATATATGATGTTGTATATTTCCAGGTATTCTATTGTTATAGATGATGTTGCATATTGCCAGGTTGTCTATTGTTATATATGATGTTGTATATTTCCAGGTATTCTATTGTTATAGATGATGTTGTATATTTCCAGGTATTCTACTGTTATAGGTGATGTTGTATATTTCCAGGTATTCTACTGTTATAGGTGATGTTGTATGTTTCCAGGTATTCTATTGTTATTAGTGATATTGTATATTTCCATGTATTCTATTGTTATAGTTGATGTTGTATATTTCCAGGTATTCTATTGTTATAGATGATGTTGTATGTTTCCAGGTATTCTATTGTTATTAGTGATATTGTATATTTCCAGGTATTCTATTGTTATTAGTGATATTGTATATTTCCAGGTATTCTATTGTTAAAGGTGATGTTGTATATTTCCAGGTATTCTATTGTTATAGTTGATGTTGTATATTTCCAGGTATTCTATTGTTATAGATGATGTTGTATGTTTCCAGGTATTCTATTGTTATTAGTGATATTGTATATTTTCAGGTATTCTATTGTTAAAGGTGATGTTGTATATTTCCAGGTATTCTATTGTTATTAGTGATATTGTATATTTTCAGGTGTTCTATTGTTAAAGGTGATTTTGTATATTTCCAGGTATTCTATTGTTATATATGATGTTGTATGTTTCCATGTATTCTATTGTTATTAGTGATATTGTATATTTCCAGGTATTCTATTGTTAAAGGTGATGTTGTATGTTTCCAGGTATTCTATTGTTATAAGTGATATTGTATATTTTCAGGTATTCTATTGTTAAAGGTGATGTTGTATATTTCCAGGTATTCAATTGTTATGTATGATGTTGTATGTTTCCAGGTATTCTATTGTTATTAGTGATATTGTATATTTCCAGGTATTCTATTGTTAAAGGTGATGTTGTATGTTTCCAGGTATTCTATTGTTATAAGTGATATTGTATATTTTCAGGTATTCTATTGTTAAAGGTGATGTTGTATATTTCCAGGTATTTTATTGTTATATATGATGTTGTATATTTCCAGGTATTCTATTGTTAAAGGTGATGTTGTATATTTCCAGGTATTCTATTGTTAAAGGTGATGTTGTATATTTCCAGGTATTCTATTGTTATAGGTGATGTTGTATATTTCCAGGTATTCTATTGTTATAGATGATGTTGTATATTTCCAGGTATTCTATTGTTATATATGATGTTGTATATTTCCAGGTATTCTATTGTTATAGATGATGTTGCATATTGCCAGATTGTCTATTGTTATATATGATGTTGTATATTTCCAGGTATTCTATTGTTATAGATGATGTTGTATATTTCCAGGTATTCTATTGTTATAGGTGATGTTGTATATTTCCAGGTATTCTACTGTTATAGGTGATGTTGTATGTTTCCAGGTATTCTATTGTTATTAGTGATATTGTATATTTCCAGGTATTCTATTGTTATAGTTGATGTTGTATATTTCCAGGTATTCTATTGTTATAGATGATGTTGTATGTTTCCAGGTATTCTATTGTTATTAGTGATATTGTATATTTCCAGGTATTCTATTGTTATTAGTGATATTGTATATTTCCAGGTATTCTATTGTTATAGTTGATGTTGCATATTTCCAGGTATTCTATTGTTATAGATGATGTTGTATGTTTCCAGGTATTCTATTGTTATTAGTGATATTGTATATTTTCAGGTATTCTATTGTTATAGTTGATGTTGTATATTTCCAGGTATTCTATTGTTATAGATGATGTTGTATATTTCCAGGTATTCTATTGTTATACTTGACGAAGCTCATGAGAGGACAATACACACGGATGTTTTGTTTGGAGTGGTAAAGTCTGCCCAACACCAGAGACAAGAACAGGGAATGAAACCTCTTAAGGTTATACTAATAAACTATTATTTTAAAGTATGATTTCTAAGAAAAGTCAGTATGTTGTTAATATTTTATTTTCTCATGAATTTTTTTTAACATTTCATAAACTATTCCCCCTCTCTTTCCTACCTCTATCTCCCCTTTCCCCTCCTAAGAAAAAAAAACTTGATTTTAAAGTAATTGATTTTGATCAGGTTTATTGCAACAGATTATATTATGCTGATATATGGATATATATATATATAAAAATCGCACGAAAAATCGGCACGCCGCAGCTGGGACTCGAACCACGGGTCTCTGGATTGCCGGTCCAGTATGCTAACCACTACACCACAGCGGCTGTTGCTTTTTCTTCGTGCTAATTGGCCTTATATATTTAAGTTATTTTTAACTTTATTTTCCCGGCTGCGGCGTGCCGATTTTCGGGCGATTTTTCTTTGTATAATTTCCCGCTCATGACTTTCTTTCTTTCATATATATTCATTCTTGGGCGGGAATGGTCTTATAAAACAATAAATGTGTTTGCCATAAGATATTTGTAATAAGAAAATTAATAGTGACTGAGTCAGCCAACTGCGGTAAAAGAAGCTTTAAATAGCTCGCCGCTATGGTAATAAAAGTGATGAAGTCACAATAAAGTTAAAAACTACTTAAATTTATAAGGCCAATTAGCAGGAAGAAAAAGCAACGGCCGCTGTGGTGTAGTGGTTAGCATACTGGACCGGCAATCCAGAGACCCATGGTTCGAGTCCCGGCTGCGGTGTGCCGATTTTTCATGCGATTTTTCTATGTAAAATTTCCCGCTCATGACTTTCTTTCTTTCATATATATATATGAGACCGTTTTAATGTATATATATATATATATTAAGAATGATTTATCATTTTCTTTAAGATAATTGTGATGTCAGCCACTATGGATGTTGATCATTTCTCCAAGTATTTTAATAAAGCACCAGTTCTGTACCTAGAGGGTCGTCAGTTCCCAATTACAGTAAGTTTGTCTGTGTATTTTGTTCCCTAGAGAAAGATTGTGTTGTTATAGCTTTATTATACCCCCACCACAAAATGTGGGGGGGGGGGCTATAATGGATTCGCTTTGTCGCGTCGGTCGGTCCGTCTGTCCGTCTCCATTTTCGTGTCCGCTCTATAACTCCTATACCAATTGAAGGATTTTCTTCAAACTTGGCTCAAATGCTCACCTCAACAAGGGGATGTGCAGAACCCATGTTGCCCATGTGTCAGCTTAAGGTCAAGGTCACAATTGAAGGTCAAATATCAAACAATCAAATATTACACAGTATGTCGTGTCTGCTCTGTAAGTTCTACACTAATTGAAAGATTTTCTTCAAACTTGGCTCAAATGTTTTTCTCAACAAGGGGATGTGCAGAACCCATGTTGCCCATGTGTCAGCTCAAGGTCAAGGTCACAATTGAAGGTCAAATATCAAACAATTAAATATTAGACAGTATGTCGTGTCTGCCCTGTAAGTCCTACACTAATTGAAAGATTTTCTTCAATCTTGGCTCCAATTTTCACCTCAACAAGGTTATGTGCAGAATTCATGTCACCCTTTTGTCGGCTTAAGGTCAAGGTCACACTTGAAGGTCAAAAATTGACTTAGAAAATATTCTTAAATTTTAACATGTATTTGAATATTTCTGAAACTAGAAAAGGTATTTGCTTGAAACTTAAAATATATATGAAGTGTCACAATTAAGATATGCTGGTCAAGTTTCATAACTCTGTATTGCATTTTAACAAAGTTATGCCCCTTTTTAAGTACAATCAAATATTAGACAATATGTCGTGTCCGCTCTATAAATCCTATACTAATGGAAGAATTTTCTTCAAACCTTACTCAAATGTTCACCTCATCAAGGTTATGTGCAGAATCCATGTCACCTTTGTGCCGGCTAAAGGTCAAGGTCACACTTGAAGGTCAAAAATTGACTTAGAAAATGTTCTTAAATATGTACTTGAATATTTCTGAAACTAGCACAGGTATTTGCTTGAAACTTAAAAGATATATGAGGTGTCACAAATAAGATATGCAGGTAAGTTTCAATACTCTGTATTGCATTTTGACAAAGTTATGCCCCTTTTTAAGTCTTTAAATTTACGTACAATCAATACTAGACAATATGTTGTGTCCGCTCTATAAATTCTATACTAATGGAAGGATTTTCTTCAAACTTTACTCAAATGTTCACCCCAACTGGGCGATGTGCAGAACCCATCTTACCCTTGTGCCAGCTTAAGGTCAAGGCCACACTTGAAGGTCAAAAATTGACTTATAAAATGTTTAGTACATTGGGAAAATGAAAGGTTATTTGTAACTGTTTCGAACATGATTTGATAATATATATTTATACTATTACCTGTACAATTAGTCTTTTTTTCACCAGAGATAATTTCTTTTTATGTATTTGTGCCACATAAGTTATTCCCTTAACCACCTTTCCAAGTCGTCCTCTGTCAAGGACATTGGTGGGGGTATGAATCGCATTCAGCGATAGTTCTAGTTTTTTCATAGTCTACAGTTGATTTAACTTTAATTTCAATGAGAGACAGGTGAAGTTTAACCTCTTTGTAGTAGTAATGGCATGTACAGTGGAGATTTAATTTATACATTTTATGAAAAATCAATTACAACAAAATCTTAATGTGTATTTTTAACACAAAATATGGTTAGAATTGATCGTATATTCTGGTATATAAAATTAGTACATTTTAAAATGAATTATAAAATGTACCAGTTTTATATACCAGAATATATGTTTTAAAATGATTTTATTTGATATTTTATGATGGAGTGTGGAGTTACTCAATCTGGAAGATTTAAAGTATACTTGAGTAGGGTTTGGTCTATAGACTAACAATTAATATGTTAGAATCCTAGACAAGGCATACATGTATGTTTTTCTATATCATTTTAATTTAATTAGTTGTTAACTGCTTAATTTTAATACTTTATTATATAATCATTGAAAGACACAGGAAAGTCCATCGTATAACTACAGCTTGGTAAGGGGTTGATTTGTTATTGATGTTAAAACAAGTACTAGTACATGATAAAGAAAACTGCATTGATAAAGTCCCACTTATAAAGTTCTGTCACAAACTGACATTAAACATAGCATTACTAAGACATGTTTAACTTGTTACAGATATAGTTTGTAACAGATATAGTTTGTAACAGATATAGGTTATAACAGATATAGTTTGTAACAGATATAGTTTGTAACAGATATAGGTTATAACAGATATAGTTTGTAACAGATATAGTTTGTAACAGATATAGGTTATAACAGATATAGTTTGTAACAGATATAGTTTGTAACAGATATAGTTTGTAACAGATATAGTTTGTAACAGATAAAGGTTGTAACAGATATAGTTTGTAACAGATAGTTTGGAACAGATATAGTTTGTAACAGATATAGTTTGTAACAGATGTAGTTACAACCCTTGGCCTGCTGGTGGCCTCAGATTCTACCCATGCTGGACAATATCTGCATTATTCTCTATTCAGTCATACATATTTTGAAATTATCCTCTCGTTTTGTCCAGATTGTAAGATGAACATAACCATTTAGCATGGTAATGGTTAAATGAAGATTGTTAGAACTTCATATTTGTTTCGTTTAAACAAAACATAAACATCAAGACCCGAACACAATATAATATTTTATATTTAGAAAAGTGCCAAAGCACAAAATCCATCCGAAAATCATTGAGAATCAACCTTACACCAAAAGTACCTGTTATTAGCTCAACTTTACAAATACAGTGGGAAGAAGCACATATTGACTTTTGTACCCAGAGTTATTCTATTTTATCCATGGCATACTTAGAAGAGAGATTTCTTGCCACTCAACAAATAGAACCACTCATGGTGTAGATATATTGATGAGATTTTTACCATTTGGCCACATCGTAGTGAGGAATTGTATCCCTTCTTGGCCCACTTGAACGCTTTTTACCCCTTTATCAAATTCTCATATGATATGAAATTGATTAGAAAGAAACTCATTTTTTTATGATAAATACTGAAGGACGTAACGGTAACCTTCAAACTACACCGTACACTAAACCTATTGATGCCAACATGTATTTTATTAAAAAAAGTGCATAACATAGATATATATAACTAATAGTGATATTTTTTATTAGTTTAATTATTACACATGTACTTAACAACATTCTGGCACTGAGCCAAATCTCATTCTATTTTTAGATTTTTTGTTACTATTTTTTTAAATCCTATACATTTTAAATACTTCAGGCCCAAATTTCTGTCAAAATTTATCTTGATGAAGACCTCTTGTTAGGTCGTAACCGGTAGATAATAAAATAACATAAACATCCGTAGTGTTGATGTGTAATTTTCTTTTTACTTATTGTATCTTGATGAAGACATTAACATGTTTGAAATATTTTTCAGGTGATGTACACTAAAGAGGAACAGTCTGATTATCTGTTTGCTTCCCTTGTCACACTCTTCCAAATACACAGGGAAGCTCTTCCTCAGTAAATATTCTCTATTTATTACTCCCCTCCCTGTCTCCATTACATTAATTAAAATGCTTAGAAAAATCACTGTATATTTTGGTCCTGACTATCCATGAAAAGAAGTCACAAGCTGTATGATTGAATAAAATGTTTTATTACCCTTCCAGATTTTTTCCGCCTTTTTGATTGGATATTGATCACCCGAAAGAAATTGATATAACCGAGCCAGACGGGTAATATACACACTAAATTTCCCCATTGGGTACCCAACGTTGTAAACAACATGGGCTGAGGTGATGCACGTACGGTTCGATTTTACGCGGTGTAAATTCCGATTTAAAAGCACTTTTTAATTGTCAAATGATAAATATTTACCAAAGTAGAGTAATGATACATATTCTCATCAGTATCTAAAACAAATATGACCTAGTGAAAGCTTGATATTAATTACAAAAAAAGTGCGTTCAATAGACTACTCCTTTTCTCTTGATTACATTCGGTAGGTACGGGAAAAATACGTCATGTATTTATGTGACGTCATGTTGTGACGAAGAGGTACCCTAAAGGGAATCTTATTTTGACGTTTCATTTGAAACAGCAATGATTTTTTAAAAAATCGTCTAAACTCGGCAGGGGAAGGGTAATAGAAAAATTATTTTGGTTTTGGAGTGATATATGTGGATATATTACCTGCCAAGATAAAATATCACCCGAGCCATTAGGCTCGGGTGATATAAAATCTTAACAGGTAATATATCCACATATATCACTCCAAAACCAAAATAACATATAATATTTCTTATTGCCAACATTTAAAATGTTATATTTATTATGGCCAACATTTAAAATGTAATATTTATTATGGCCAACATTTTAAATGTTATATTTATTATTGCCAACATTTTAAATGTTATATTTATTATTGCCAACATTTTAAATGTTATATTTATTATTGCCAACATTTTTAAATGTTATATTTATTATGGCCAATATTTTAAATGTTATATTTATTATTGCCAACATTTTAAATGTTATATTTATTATTGCCAACATTTTAAATGTTATATTTATTATTGCCAACATTTTAAATGTTATATTTATTATGGCCAACATTTAAAATGTTATATTTATTATGGCCAACATTTTAAATGACATATTTATTATTGCCAACATTTTAAATGTTATATTTATTATTGCCAACATTTTAAATGTTATATTTATTATTGCCAACATTTTTAAATGTTATATTTATTATTGCCAACATTTTAAATGTTATATATATTATTGCCAATATTTTAATTGTTGTATTTATTATTGCCAACATTTTAATATAAATTGCCAACATTTTAAATGGTATATTTATTATTGCCAACATTTTAATTGTTATATTTATTATTGCCAACATATCATTAACATGCTCTACATTATTTATATGAGTATAGAAAAGTTAACTAATGAATTAAGTAAAAGTAGCTGTACATATTTTATTTTATTTATTTTTTGTTATATTTATACTGTATATATTTTAGTATCTCACTTATTTTATTTATTTTTTGTTATATTTATACTGTAAATATTTTAGTATCTCACTTAGAATTTCATTCAATTGTTACATATGAAAATGTCTTGACCAAATATGATAATCAGTTAAATCAAAGTCAGTATTTTCAAGTTATGATACTTTAAAACTAAATAGGAATACTGAAATAGCTTGTGTCTACTAAAGAAGTAGATAAAACTTCTAAATATTGTTTCCTTCAAAATTTTAGCTAGAATTCATGGATGAGAGTTTATATTATAGTTCATGTGACCCCATGTGGTACTTCACATTATCCTAGATATACATTTATTTTTGTTGATATGTTGTATAGTTACTGTTACAATATCTAATATAACAGTTTAATATTGTATTTTGAGAAGTATAATTATTATAATTAATTTAACGTCTTGTTACAATATTTATCATAGCTTTTTTATATTTTGAGAAGTAAAACATAATTTATTACAATATTTATAGTAACATAATGTATTTAGATAAATTAGCTAGACATTATCATTACAGGGAAGACATTTTGATATTTTTGACTGGTCAAGAAGAGATTGAGTCAGCTGTAAAATCAATACGAGATATTGCCAGGAACATGACGGGGAATGTACCAAATATGTTAGTCTGTCCTCTATATGCAGCCTTACCTTCACAACAACAACTTAAAGTCTTTCAGCCAACACCAAAGGTTAGTTTAATATTACCCTCTTACTCTTAACTTTTCCCTTTTCTTATTGTATACTCTATATTTGCTTTATTTGCAGGAAGGATTAAAGCACAAATATAAGTTTGCGTGAATAAATCTGCAAGATTTCACATATTAATTAGTAAAAATAGTTTTGTTTACATACGTTGCCTAAAAATTTTTATAAAGAGCTACACAACTGGGCAGCGTTTTACTAACGTACTTACGCTTAAGATTTGCCTAAGTTTTAACTATAAACGTAAAGATGTTTTACTTAAAATTTGGGTAAGTAAGGATTTCGTAAGTTTTTACGTAAAGTTACGCTTAAAATTTGTTAACTTAAAACTTACGTAAGTAAGACTGACATCATCTATGAATAATGGCAGAGAAGGAAAGCGAGAATTGTAGAGACAGATGTGACTGGTAATATAATTTTCATGGTGAAAGCGGCTCTAGAAAAGTAAAGTCTAAGGAAGAAAAAGATATTGTGGCTGTACGGACTTGTTGCTTTAAGGACTTATTGAAAATAAAATTAAGTAAAAACAAAAAAAACATATATGAATTTGGAAGTCATCCTATCAGCTTAAAGACCTAAGATATACCGGTACCTCATACCGACCTTAGTCGTGGTTGACATCGACCCAGAGTATTTTGAATCAGTTATTAAATGTTTTATATTATTTTAACATACTAAATATAGATTTATTGAGACTTTTATAGATTACATAAATTATTGTAAACTGAAACTTATTTAATTTCATTTGTTTAATACCAACTAAGTGAAGACCGGATATGAGAGTATCTAATTGTATGATTTGCAAATGTACATAAAATTATCTGTTGCAGTTGTTTTTATGGCAAATATTCAGATAACATTACTTCACTAAAATACATAATAGTTACATTGCAATGATGACTACAAACTTAAATAGCTTTTTTTTGCATGTGGCATTTTTGTGTCATCTTTTTACGCATGTTATTCCGATGGGGGTTTTCTTAAATTGATAGGCATAAATGAATAAATAGTACATTTAAATAAATGTATAAATTAATGTATAAATAAATAAATAAACAAATACATAAACAAATAAATAACAAATACATAAACAAATAAATAAATAATAAATAAATAAACATAAAATATTAAAAAATATGGGTTAGGTGAATAAGCTAAACAATTCATTTAAAAATGAGAATAAAAAATCCACATTTTCACTTTCGGACATTACAGTTCTTTCACTTCTCAAAACAAACAAAAACCCTTTAAATATCTTCAATGATGGATCATATTCGGTTTCGGAATATTACCAAAACGCTTCCTTATTGACTAACTCTTAAAACCTCCTTTGAAGAGTTACGCACCATTTTAACGTAAGTTTAAGAAAAAAACTTACGAACGTTTAGTGGAACACACGATTTACGTAAGTTTAAACGTAAGTGTAAAGTTATGATAATTCTTACGGAAGAACTTGCGCAATGTTAGTAAAACGCTGCCCTGTATATTAAAACTTATCAGCACTTGTTAAAACACAACAAAAAAGTTATTAAAATGTGTTTTTTATTCAAATAAATATGTTTTTATTGATATTAAGAGCAGTGCCAGAATATGAATGTAAAAATATGTGCACATTATTGTCTTGAGGTCGGGTATATTACAATCAGTGTAAAACATAATAAACAGTATAGATAATAATGACTAGTAGCTAAATTGTGATCACATTTCACTCATGAAGAGTAATAGTATATAAGTTTATTGCTAATCTGTTGGTTGTTACCTATTATAGTTAAAAATAGTTCTAAGTTCTTGAAAATAAAGGTTGTGATTTTTAAGTTTGGACAAGAAATTAACTTACAAGAACGGGAAAAATAAGGAACGGAAGTTTTATATGACTGCTTATTATGTGTGGTCTTATCTTCTTGTGTAAATCATCATTTGTAATTAGATTTATAAGTCTAGCGCTGGGTTTTCCATGATAGATTTTATTTTGAACTTGAAAATTATTTTAAATTTTTTTTTTAATTTGGCCCCTACTATAGAGGTGTGTGGGGGGGGGGGGCATTTAGATTTACCCTCGTCCGTCCGTCCATCCGTCTGTTCTCTTTTTGTGTCGCACATAGCTCAGACAGTAATTGACCTAAAGTCATGAAACCTTACAGGAATGTTGATCAGCATGTGTAGTTAGTTGTGCACTTAGGTATTTTTGTGTGGATATATTTAGTATTTTTGGAGTTATTGCCCTTGACATAGTAAAAATTTACAATTTTCAACTTGTGTGGCACGTGACTAAAAAAGTATTTAACCTAGAGTCATGAAACCTTACAGGAATGTTGCTCAGTATGTGTAGTTGGGCACCTGGATATTTTTGTGTGGATATTTTTAGTATTTTTAAAGTTATTGCCCTTGTTTTAGTAAAAATTTACAATTTTCAACTTGTGTCGCACATTACTAAAAAAGTATTTGACTAGTCATGAAATCGGACAGGAATGTTGCTCAGCATGTGATGTTGTGCACCTGAGTATTTTCGTGTGGATTTTTAGAGTTATTTCCCTTGACTTAGTAAAAATTTACAATTTTCAACTTGTCAAGAAGTATTTGACTTAGAGTCATGAAACCTTACAGGAATGTTGGTCAGCATGTGATGTTGTGCACCTAGGGTTTTGCTTGCAGATTTATTCTGTTTTTTTGGAGTTATAGCCCTTTACGTAGTAAACATTTGCAATTTTCAACTTGTGTTGCTCATTGCTCAAAAGGTATTTGACCTAGGGTCAGGAAACTTTACAGGAATGTTGATCAGCATGTGTAGTTGTGCACCTGGGTATTTTCATGTGAATTTATGTAGTATTTGTAGAGTTATTGCCCTTAATTTAGTAAAAATGTGCAATTTTTAACTTGTGTGGCATATAGCTCAAAAGTATTTGACCCATGCTAATCAGCATGGGAAGTTTTGCTTGTGAATTTATTCTGTTTTGTGAAAGTTATTGCCCTTGACTAAGTATAAATTTGCAATTATTAACTTGTTCGTGCATAACTCAAAAAGTAGTTGACCTGTAGGCCTGAAAGTTTATAAGAATGTTGGTCAGCACGTGTATATATGCACCTTGGGTTTTGCTTGTGGATTTATTTTCAGTATTTGTAGTTCTTGCCCTTTACTAAATAAAAGATTTTTAGTTTACAACTTAAGCACATGTAGCCAAAAAAAATATTTGACCTAGAGACATGAGATTGACAAATCAGTGGAGAGTGGGGGCACCCATTTCCTATGGACACATTTCTAGTTTAATTTTTTTTTCTTTGTTCTTTGTTACTATAAATTGTATCCACTTTAGACTTAAGATAATTTGTCTTTGTCAACACTAACATCATGTATGACAAGGTTCATAATTTTAGCATCTTTATATCAAAAGTTATCTCCTCTGTAGTTTAAGAATTTGCTTTTAAAAATGTTATATTCAGGTTACAACCAAGGAGGTTTAAAGATTTGCCCTCTGTCTGTCAGTCTGTCCCTAAAAACTGTTTCCTGAGATCACTTTTAAAGAACTGAACTTTCCCAACAAATTTACTTAAAATATAGAAGAGTTGAAACATTAGTTTTACATATTCATCCTTAGAAAATTGGATCTTTTGATTATCTGTTGTATAAACATAATGTCCTAGGCAAGGAAACTTATATATTACTACAGACAAACTAAGAACTCAAACGTCCATTAATGTCTCCTACATTGGCATAAATATATGGGCATGACCCTTTAGAATGTTGCTGACATATGTCTTGAGGGGTTCTAACCAATAGGAGACTTTTGTATTACGTGCAATACTTTGATAATTGCTTGTTTTATTAGGCCCCCACTCTGATTTACTAGGTCACATATGATTTTCTAAGGTTTATCAGGGATTTCCTTCACTCCTGTTGTTTTCGTTTATAAGTACAGCTGATATGTGTAAGCATCTGTTATTTTCATCAACAATATTGGTTTTGATACTTATATGTGTCCTAATAATGCACATGTATATTGCATCCATTCTACCACATTGATTACATTTTTCAGGGGTGCCGAAAAGTAATAGTTGCTACCAATATAGCAGAAACTTCCATTACAGTTCATGGAATAAAGTATGTTATAGACTCAGGAAAAGTGAAAGCTAAGTAAGTATAGACTGGATTGTTTGTAAACTCTTAAAATGCTGGTAGCAATAAAGACTTCTCTATGCCTCTAGTATGTAAGACCAGGCTGCACATCCATATAGTTTAAGCAATTTCACATGTTTGATATGATTAAAGTTGTTTATGTCAAACCACTTTCCCCTCACCACTGAGGTTTCAAATCCTGCCAATTTTTTTTCATGTGGGAAAGCATGTCTGGTAGCTTACAGAATAACGGTGGTTCTACTCAGGTGCCAGTTACGGCCTGAAATAATGCATGCAGTTGCATTATGATCTTTACAGTGATATCCCTTAAAATAATCATTGACAGTTCAAAGCAGGTGAAGTCTGTTATTCAAAATCAGCTATGTGAAGCTATGTGTAATTATCAAATTTTCTAGAGGATAATATAAGTTGCTGACTGTTGAAATAAAGTCTATACAATATACTAAATTATTTCATACAGAAGATTTTATACTCCTACCAAGGTGCCATATCGTGAAAAAAAAAAGATAGTGCATAAAATATCTTATTCAGGATCTACAACTCTCGAGGCGGCCTTGACCTTATGAAGGTTGTGCATGTTTCACAGGCCCAGGCCCAACAGAGATGTGGCCGTGCTGGGCGTGAGTCTCCAGGGACATGTTACAGATTGTACACAGAACAACAGTATGAGGCCCTCCGAAAAACAACAGTTCCAGAAATACAAAGGTTTGTTTTGGTAAAACATTGTTGACTAGACATTATTTCTTTCAAAGCAGAGGATCTCTTTGCAAATGTTGATAAGGTTGACAACCTAAATAGAGTTGCTATTTTTGAATAAAACCTGTAGTTTCATGATCTTTTGTGCATTATCTTACTTAAGCTTATTGCTGTTCAAGAATCACATATATCAGTGTTACTTCCGATATTTGAATATTTGAGATAAACAAATTAAAACTCATTTTGTGCTACATAATTATCTTAAAAATTCTGCAAAAAGCAGTAAAAATGTGTGAATACATACCATATTTAGATAATTAGCTCTTACTTTATGTAAGAGATAACATTACATTTACAAACATTTAACATGAATGCCACCTTTCATTTGGAAAATTAGCATTTTCATTTCTTGAAGAAGAAAAAATATTTTGTAAATACAGTCTACTCCACTTACAACGAGATCGTTTTAACAAGGTATCGCTTACAACGTACATTCTACTGTGTCCCAGCCTTTTTCCTTCTATTTTCCTTTCATTTTTTATCGTTTATAAAGAGATTGGTTTTAGCGAGATATTGGTTACAACGAACATAATTTCGTCGCCCCATGCATATTTTTCAGAATTTTAACGAAGTGACTTCATTTGCACTTCGTCTGCATCAGTTTGTCACCTTGAGAAAAACAATGATGACCAATAATAAAGGTCAATTAAGGAAGAAATTATTGACCCGGGACGAGATAATGGGTCGAGCAATTAGCGATCAAATGTGTCAGCCTTGTTTTGTCAGCGCTTTGGGCTAAATTGTCCTTAAGGTGACGAAATGTCATAACAAAACAATTTCTTTGAGTGATTAGCACAAAGGAAGCGGCTAATTTCTTGCAGTGTTATTCGGTGTTCATGAGAAATGCACTGCGTGACTTTTGAAAACGAATTTTAAAATGTACATATTAACGAAAAAACACACGCAGGTAGGCATAGGTTGTGTTTTCATGTTTTGTTTAAATTCTATGATAGCTAGATATATATATATTCATGTATATTTAAATAAAACAAAAACTTCTGATTGCAAAGAGTTACCTCCCATTATATACTCTTCAAAAAGGATGCACGCGAAAGCGAAAGTAGAAATAAATGATGCTCAACGGTGTCAGATTTCTTAATTTGTTCTTACCCGGTTGTAACGAGACCCGGTTATAACGAGGAATCATCCGAAGTCCCGACGATCTTGTTGTATCCGGAGTGCACTGTAGTAATGTAATATTTGACATCATTTCAGATGTAACCTGGCTAGTGTGGTGTTACAGTTAACTGCTATGGGTATACAAGATGTTGTTAACTTTGATTTTATGGATAAACCGTCTTCAGAGGTAAGTGTTAAAGATAACTTGGTTTAAAATACTTATTAGTTTAGATGATCAGCATTAATTGAAGTATACTGCTAAACATATAGAAATATTTGCATATCAAACTCCTATGATCAGTCTAAGAAATGCTGAGTAAGTTAAACTTATTCCTGACAGTATGCAAATTGATAATTTCTATTTAAATTTACTCATAGACATTTATTGAACCGTGATATGTTAAGTTCTTGAAAAATTGTGTATTGAACTTTTAAAAAAAAAAGAATTAATTGTTTCAATGTGCATTTTAGCTATTAGATATTCCTTACCAGTGTAATCCTTGTAAGAATGAACAGTTTTTGATAACTTTTTTTTTCTGATGAAGGTTATTGTTATATCAAACTGGTAACATAAAATTTAATAATGGTTATAAAAATGGTGTTACAGTGTGTTCCTTAGATTTATCCTTATATTAGTTTATTTATTTCACCAGAGCACTGCATACTGAAGGTGAAGGTGACTTGTGTTTTGATCACTTAATAGTCCCTCATCTGTCAGTCTGTTTGAACAGGCAAACATCAAATGGTTTATTAGCTTCATTTCATCTGTAATCTTAGTTGAAAAAAGGGAACCATAATAAACCAGCTGTTTAAGTGGTTATTAGTCCCCTACCGGTTTAACCGGAGGGGACTTTAGGTTTACCCTCCGTCCGTCCGTCTGTCTGTCAGTCCGTCCGTCCACAAAACTGGATCCCGCGATAACGCAAAAAGTACTGAAAATATTTTTATGAAACCTGATATATGGATAGATGGCAGTATGGAGATTATGCACGTCTTTTCCTTTTGTTCCTATGTTGAAAATTCTGGTTGCTATGGCAACAAATAGTCTGAAAATATGGCAAATTAAACACATAAACTGGATCCAGTGATATCTCAAAAAGTACTGAAAATATTTTTATGAAACTTGAAATATAGGTAGATGGCAGTCTGGAGATTATGCACATCTTTTTCTTTTCTTCCTATGTTGAAAATTCTTGTTGCTATGGCAACAAGTAGCCTGAATTTCAAGCTTTCTGATTTAAATTTTTCAGCTTTTTCACTATAAGTTCTTTATTTCTTAAGGTGTTTACTTCAAACTTTAAATATAAGTTTCTGGTCATCAACCACATCATATGTGACAAGGTTTACAACTCTAGCACAAAAATTATCAGTATTACCTCCCTTGAACTTAGAATTTTGATGAAAAAAATGTTGTCTTTTTTAAATAACTTCTTTATTTCCTAATGTATCTACTTCAAACTTCATATATATGTTTCTTATTATCACTCAACATTTTTGAGAAGGTTAAATACTCTAGCAAGACTATTTCCAGAATTATGTCCCCCTTGAACTTAGATTTTTTTTGAGAAATTGGTATTTTTTAAAACAACTCCTTCATTCCTTATAGGATTTACTTTAAAATCCCACATCGTAATAATATAACAAGGTTGTATAAACATAATTTCCTTACAAGGCAGGGAAACTTAACACATTACTGTGATATAGACAAACTTAGAACTCAAAAGATTGAAGTTTATTCATGTCATTCACTGGTAAAATTGAATGGCCAAATTGGCCCATCAGAATGTTGCTGGGGTTCTAACCGGTAGGGGACTTATGGATTGCTTGCAATACTATGATAATTGCTTGTTTTTACTGGTCTATTTCCTTTAATACATTCATTCAGTAAGGTCTTGCCTGGCAACTTTCTCATGCAAGGCTAGGAGAGCAATAGAAAGAAGTCTGCGTGTCCGTTCATTCAAACTTTCACTTCTGTCTGGACATCTTCTCTTTAACTTCTGATCAAAATCATCAAGACTTCATGGGTGACCTATTCAATATTGTACAAAACTTTCATTTCATGAAGAACTCTTGGTTGCCATGGCAGCTGAAAGGAAAATCTTAATTCTTTTGGTCAGAAACTGTTGGTAAGATTTGATATTAGAAATGATTATTAGATGACAATCTACCAAATTGAATGTTGTTCCAATTATTGTAGAAATCTAGGTCAGATTTACAGTTCAGAAATCAAAATGAAAATAGACTAAAATATATTTCAACTGTCTTAGAAATAAGGGAAATGCTTATTGTTCCAATTTCTGTAATAATTAAGGAGTGAACCTCTCTAGAAGAATCAAATGAAAGGCTGCTATTTAATATGATTGTCTAAAAATTGGACATTCCTCTGCTAGTTTTACTTTTTGAACTTAGCCAAAATAAAATAAGGAAGTACTTCTGGATTTATTAAACTTACTATTTTAGCACTACATTAATTTGATGTTACATATATAGAATTGATCATTTTGTTAAAGAAATTAGAGAAAGTGTTAGAGAACTGGTATCAACAGGCTGGAAACATTTGATGCTATATCTAAGTTTGCCAGTAATATGTTCAAAACATTTTAGTTTTGATACCTTATTGTATTTTTGTTGAATAGATCAGATGAGATTGAAGCAAAAGTTTCTTGATTGACATATTTAACAATGTCAGCAAACACTGAATATTATTGTTATATTATACAGGCAATATTAAATGCAATTGAGCAGTTGAAACTTCTTGGAGCATTGGAAAATACTGAAGAGATTAAGGTATGTACATAGTATCATTTTTATCATGTGGTAATAACCCAAATTTTGTAACACCTCAATGATAAATGTCTAAAGAATAAATGTATGTTGATACAATCAATAAAGCTTTTCTCGGTGTTATTATATGCTTTCTAGTGGGGTTAATCTACATTATACTTTGTTATGTGTTTGAAGTATTACTTTTAACTATACAATATGATTTCTTAAATGAAGTTAATAGACTTAAATAAGTGTCTGTCTGTATATTTCTTAGAAGGAAGTTTATAAGTTAATGTTTTACCCTGTAAATGTGTATGGTATTTTAGCTAGGACAATGGCAGTTCTAGTTTAGTTTTCTTGTATGTAGTTTTGATTTAAACAATTATGTTAGTTCTTTTAGATGTATGGATATAAAGGCTAAGAAAAAATATACAAAAGTTTCAAACTGCTCTTGATGTGATGCTTACATGACTTACTGTTTGTTATTATAATTCACAGTTAACACAAACAGGGAAACAAATGGCAGAGTTCCCTCTTGATCCAAGAATGTCAAAGGTTATCCTGTCTGCTAAACATTATAAATGTTTGTAAGTATTTTATATGAGGAAAAGTTAGAATATGTTCATTATTTATAGTATGATATACAATATGGGATGTCTAACATTACAGACCACCAATTAGCTAGAAGCTCAGTCTGTCCTTTAACTGATTCTATATACAGGTAATATAACTTAGGCCAAAATAAAAATTTGTTTAAACTATATTCTTAAGAAATGAAAAAATGAATTACTCTGTTATCAATTATCAAAATATTGATGGAGTTTTGATGAAAATAAATCAAATGAGAAAACAGTGGAATAAAATATACATGTATCATATTTTTTTCTTTAATCACATTGACACATCCTGACCTAAAGTAATCCATGTGTCCAGATATCACTCTACTTATGTTTGCAGTAAGTTATGTCAGCAATAATATAATATAGAATGTATAGGTTGATGTACTGTTTTGTTATAGAAATATGCTAGATAGGAATATGTTTAAAGATTATTTATGTAGGTTAAATCAAAACAGTACAATAAATTATAGTCCCAAATAATCAGAGCTTTTTTCTGTCAAAATGACATACATGACTAATAATACATTTGTCAAATACTTCCTTCACACCTGTATATTTCTTTATTGAAATAATTCCTTTACAGCTTAAATTGATAATATATAGTTATATACTGAAGTAATATACTTAACAATGCTTTATTTTGTAGAGCTTGCATTGAATATTTCACTATTATCAAAGGCCAGTTGACAGCCTGATAATTTGATGAATTTTCTTCTATTAGTATACTGCATGCCCAGATGAAATTTATTACCAATTTCTTAAAAATCTACTACATCAGTCTCTTGAATCTTTTCTTAAAATTTAACAAATTTTGGGTATCTTTTGAAGTTTCTAACAATTTGGAAAGAATTCAATTCCTAAACCTGACAATGCTTTATTTTGTATAGATTGCAATGAGTATGTCACTGTCAAAAATTTCTCTCTTTAATGCCAAAATATTGCACAGGTTTGTGATAGATTTTATCTAGTAAATTCAGTTACTGAATTTTTTCCTCATTTCCATCTAAAATCTTAATTGATTATTTCAAGGAAATAAACTTGTATTGTAAGATTTAAGTAATTGATTTAATAAACTTGTACTGACACACTTTAATAATTAGTGTACAGCATGGTTTGATTAATAATGTGTCAGTATGCTATTAAACACAAGCAACCGTATCTCTTCTTAATCTAATAATCATGTATTGATATATTTATAATGCAATGTTATATTTTACAGAGAGGAGATTCTGACCATAGTGTCCCTGCTGTCTGTTGACTCTGTTCTTTATACTCCACAAAGCAAGGTAACTACCGTGTGTTATTATGCCCCCACATCTAAGTTAGAGCATACTGTGATATGATTGGACTGTATGTCTGTCTGTCACCTCTTCCTTGTCTGTTTTCAATGCCTTGAGAAAGAATAAGCCCTGGTTTGTGAAAATAGGGATACTACCCATGGCAAGGAGATGACCCCTCTTGTTTTTAAATCAGATGTCAAGGTCACTATGGCCATGACCACTTAAAGCTTGTCTGAACAATTACTAGAGCATGCTTTGGCCTACAGTCTAGAATTTGGTGTGGAGGTTTGTCATTACTAGTAGATGAAGCCTATTGATTTTGAGGTCTGTCTGTTAAAAGGTCAAAGTCACAGTGGCCTTGACCCCTAAAAGCTTGACCGACAAGTAACTACAGGATGCTTTTGCCTTCAGTCTGAAGATTTAATTTAGAGGTTTGTTATGACAATTAGGTGACCCCTTTTGTTTTTGAGGTTAGTAGGTCAAAGGTTAAGGCACTGAATGCTTTGTCCTACAGTCCTAAGATTTTATTGTCAGGTTTGTCGAGACTATTAGATTATGCCTATTGATTTTGTGGTCAATAGGTCAAAGATTAAGGTCTGAATGACCTTGACAACTGAAAGCTTTTTTGACCAAGTGAATTCGATTTTCCACATACTTTATCGTATATAAAATCTGTAAAAATCATACTTTAGCATAAACTCTGTTATAAAACACTACATGTGAAAGTCATAATCAAGCATTTATTACTGTTATCTAGTTGTTTAAAGCAATTGAGAAAATTTATCTTATTTTCACCCTTACTGGTTTTCACACCTTGGCATACTTGATTGAGAGATAACAGAACAACACTGCTCAAGTATAATGCATGTTTGTTAAAGCAAGTTATCAATAATCTTTGTTCTTTTGTATGTATGAATGTTAAATCACAAACTTTGTTTCCATTATAAAATTAAAATGGCAAGATATGTATTCATTAATCAGGTTTCCCGAAGGAAAAACTTGTTATTAGATTGAGGCGTGTCGGCAAGCTGGCGAGCGTAAACAATTTCTTCCATGCACAACTCCTACATTTCTCAATGAATTTTGACCAAACTTTCATGATACAACCTGTTACTGTCTTATTGTAGACAGTTTACTAGATATAAGTAACTGATAGTGAAGCACATTATTGTATTACAGAGAGAGCATGCTGTAGCTGTCAGACAGAAGTTTATGTCTAGTGAAGGTGACCATATCACACTACTCAATGTGTTCAGGGCTTATAAAGGTGTTAATGGCAACAAGGTATTTGTTAAACACTATTAATGGTAGGATAATATGTCTTGGTGCACCTGTTGAATGCTCTCACTTGGACCATTTTTTGTAGAAAATCTGTCGACTCGAAGATAAAATACGAGTCTATTATAAGAAACATTTGGAGTATCAAAATATAATGTATCTTACCATTGAATAAGTAAAAGGTATGTGTTTATGACTTAAAAAGGTGTCAATGGGAACAACATGTTTGTGTGTGTGTTAAGGGCTTATAAATGTGTCAGTGACAACTAGAAATGTGTTTGGGACTTTTAGAGATGTTAATGGATGTAAGGTATCTGTTTAGGGCTTATAAAGTTGAATGTAAATAGGAGCATGGTATACGTGTCAAAAGAAACCAGTTATGTTTTCAGGGTTGATAAAGGTTACAAGGTATAATAGGAACAAGTTAAGATTTTAGGGTTTATATAGGTGTGAATAGGGCTCATTATATATTATTTTGGTTACATGTTAAAGGTTAGATATTCTTACTGGAAATATTAATTTTAGGAACACCTTTGACTGGAAAGTAACTTTGAGATCTTTACAGTATCTTTGTGGCTACAGAGCATCCAGAATAAAAGGGATATTTATATATAAATATATTTCAGCAATGGTGTCAGGAGAATTTTATCAACATGAGAAATATGCGTACAGTGTTTGATGTAAGACGACAGCTACGAGATATCTGTGTGAGACAAGATCTACCTCTCAATACATGTGGTCACGATACAACCTCAATCAGGTATTCTCTATAGTCCTTATATATATATATATTGTCTACCTCTCAATACATGTGGTCACGATACAACCTCAATCAGGTATTCTCTATAATCCTTATATATATATATATATTGTCTACCTCTCAATACATGTGGTCACGATACAACCTCAATCAGGTATTCTCTATAGTCCTTATATATATATATATATATATTGTCTACCTCTCAATACATGTGGTCACAATACAACCTCAATCAGGTATTCTCTATAGTCCTTATATATATATATATATTGTCTACCTCTCAATACTTGTGGTCACGATACAACCTCAATCAGGTATTCTCTATAGTCCTTATATATATATATATATATTGTCTACCTCTCAATACATGTGGTCACGATACAACCTCAATCAGGTATTCTCTATAGTCCTTATATATATATATATATATATATTGTCTACCTCTCAATACATGTGGTCACGATACAACCTCAATCAGGTATTCTCTATAGTCCTTATATATATATATATATATTGTCTACCTCTCAATACTTGTGGTCACGATACAACCTCAATCAGGTATTCTCTATAGTCCTTATATATATATATATATTGTCTACCTCTCAATACTTGTGGTCACAATACAACCTCAATCAGGTATTCTCTATAGTCCTTATATATATATATATATATATTGTCTACCTCTCAATACATGTGGTCACGATACAACCTCAATCAGGTATTCTCTATAGTCCTTATATATATATATATATATATATATTGTCTACCTCTCAATACATGTGGTCACGATACAACCTCAATCAGGTATTCTCTATAGTCCTTATATATATATATATATTGTCTACCTCTCAATACTTGTGGTCACGATACAACCTCAATCAGGTATTCTCTATAGTCCTTATATATATATATATATTGTCTACCTCTCAATACTTGTGGTCACAATACAACCTCAATCAGGTATTCTCTATAGTCCTTATATATATATATATATATTGTCTACCTCTCAATACATGTGGTCACGATACAACCTCAATCAGGTATTCTCTATAGTCCTTATATATATATATATATTGTCTACCTCTCAATACATGTGGTCACGATACAACCTCAATCAGGTATTCTCTATAGTCCTTATATATATATATATATTGTCTACCTCTCAATACTTGTGGTCACGATACAACCTCAATCAGGTATTCTCTATAGTCCTTATATATATATATATATTGTCTACCTCTCAATACTTGTGGTCACAATACAACCTCAATCAGGTATTCTCTATAGTCCTTATATATATATATATATTGTCTACCTCTCAATACTTGTGGTCACGATACAACCTCAATCAGGTATTCTCTATAGTCCTTATATATATATATATATATTGTCTACCTCTCAATACATGTGGTCACGATACAACCTCAATCAGTTATTTTCTATAATCCTTATATATATATATATTGACGTAACCATCAATAATACATGTAGGCTACTCTTTCATAATGTCAGTCAATTTTATAACTGAAATATAAACTTTGGAGATCCAAATAACATAATTATGATTCTGAATTGATATAAAACTTTTCAACCTATTTGTCAAATTATCTTGATAAACAGTACAGTTGTATTATGTGAACATCATTAAAGATGTTGTTATGTTGTTTCTTACAGAAAATGTTTAGCAACCGGATATTTCATGAATTCAGCAGAGTTACAGAAAGAAGGAGAATATATGTCTGTAAGTTAGATATAACACATACTGTTTGAATTCAGTACACAAGTGTCTTATTAACTTATGTAACTTAAGAGTTAAGTGAACTGTCTCTTGTATTGCCATGGATCCTTTTGGCATGTTTAAAACCGGTTGAATCAGCCCTTAGGGATCCAAAACATATTAGTACCTACTTTGTAGCACAGATTTACCTATGTCAAATTCAGATTAAAATGCAATAAAAGCAGAGAAAAAGCTTTTTTTATATCAGTTAACCCAGAAAAGTTTATTAAAGTTTCTACTTTTATTTTACCATAATCATACTATAGTTAATGAATCATAAAACACAAATATTTACTATGATAAAGCATCTTAAACACTTGATTAAGAGATTTGAAGTGATATGAAGAATTAAATCATTACATAACGACCAGCCTTCAGCAACCAATCAAATTCCCAGATAAAACGAGACAGTGCCTCGTAAATCTGGTAAGTAACTACAATAAAAAAAATCGTTGTACTGTTTACGGTTATGGATTTTTTTGTGTTAATAATGTCTTAAAAGTGGTATTGTTCTGTGTATAGGGCAAAAGAATTCAAAAAAGAAATGTTTCATGATCATACAAAAAAAACAGGAAAGATAAATCTTGGATAAGAATATGGTGACTGTGGAAGTTCCAAATACATGTACCTGAATGAATCTAGTTTAATATAAAATCTGAAATGCTTCTGTTTATATCATTGTCTGAACATGTATTATATTATATAACATTATAACTATTGATTACTTCAACAAATTCCATTTGTTTGAATGAATATTTTACTGTTGAACTTTGCTTTAGTCTTTTCTTGAGGAATGTTTCTAGGGAGGAATAAAAACATGATTTTTAAACTATTTTCTTATAATAACAGATATTTAATACTCTTGTATTGACATGAATCCAGGGAATTGTAGCCTTATAGATCCTGTTAAATTAGTCATTAGCTCAGAGGAACTTTCTACATGTAAATGTGGAATTATTTTATACAGATAATTAGCTGCTTGAAAGTATATATCATTGTCTTAAATAAAGATCATTCAGTAAGGGATGTTACATGAAAAAATTGACTTACGTGCAAAAAAATTCTGTATCAGGCTAGACTATGTTGACTAAACTAATATTTCAGATTTTTTTTTTTGGGGGGGGGGGGGGGGGGATTGTAGGTTCAAGAGATATGAAAGTCTGCAAATTTTCAAAGTGATTATTAATGAATATTTTGTAATTGCAATTTTCTGGCGTCCGTCCATCTGTAAACTTTTACTTTAAACACAATTTATCAGTTTTTAGAATCATTCATAATTGTACAAGTACTGGTTTCCGTCCCCTAGCAGTTTTCCGGCCGTTTATCATTTTCGTCCAGTACAGTCTATTTTTACCAGTAAGGTATCCACATTTATCAATCAGATTGGCATTTGTTTTCTATGCTAAACAGCATTTAAAATAGTACAACGATTTAAATGTTTTGAAGTTTTGTCTGTTATTCAAAGTTACATAAGAGAACTTGCGACTTTCAAAAATAAGCAACACCTGGGGAATTCTAGTTTGAATATCCCTTCGCAATATCTAAGACCCCATTTTAGGTTAATCAATACTTCGGAAAATATTTTTGCAGACGACACAGAAAGGGTTTGGAAGTTCTGTTTGTCTGATAATACCGTCTTAACCAATGTTAACTCATGGTACTGAGTTATATTCAAAATAAAAAAGATCTGGAAAACTGCTATGAATTTTTTAATAAAAGTGAAAAAAGATGTTACATTTCAGGCCTATATTCAAATTAAAAAGTAAAATGAAAGTGCAACATTAAGCACATGGCAATGCTGGACAGGTACCTAACTTTGTCCTGTCAAAGTTTTGTACCCCTCCGTAGACTGATTGTTATTCTATTTGTTAAAAAGTGTGATTCGTGGCCGGAAACTGCTAGGAAACCAGTAAAGGAAATATCAAGAAGTTGAAAAAAAATACCCTGATATAAACAAAGTATAAGGATCTTAAATTTTTTCTTTTCGGTTTGACATTATAGAGGTCATTAACTAAGCTCACATTTTATAACCTATGTTGAATATAGAGTATTGAGAAATATTTCACTTACAATATCAGCTATAGACATTGATATTAATTTTTTTGTTGCATACATTATTTAGGCGCGTGGCCGAGTGGTTAAGGTTGTTGACTTCAAAACATTTGACAATACCGCTTTGGGTTCGAATCCAGACAGGGACTTTGGATTCTTTTAATGTGGGGAAGCTATCCAGCCAGCTTACGGAGCACCTATGGTTCTACTCAGGTGCCCGTTCTTGCCTGAAATGATACAGAGAAGGGCACCTGAGGTCTTTCTCCACCAGTAAAGCAGGAATGTCGCCATATGCTTTGTCGGTGTGACGTAAAACCCAATCAAACATACATTATTTACACATTACTTTCTTTCTGTCGCCTTTATTGTACAATTTTCAGGGTAATTAAAAATGAACATGTACATGAACATTTATTTTTTCAGTTATCAACAAGGAAAACTGTAACCATCCATCCGTCATCAGCATTGTTTCATTGTAAACCAGCATATGTTATTTATAATGAACTGGTTCAGACCACTAAATGTTATATGAGGTAGGTAAATGTTGTTTTTTATTTAAGCCAGTTTACAAAAAAAAAAACTACTATTAGTAACACCCGTCTGTTCTCCAGTCCGTCCTTCCGAACTATATGTCTGGTCCATGGTTGGATTTTAAAATTTTGTGTAAAACATTGAAATGATGTGCCATGCATCTTGGGTTTAAGGCCACACAATGATACAGTCAACAATTATGACATTTCTGAATGGATTTAAAAAATAACTGTGCATAAATGTGTTGAACATTATGATGATACATATATGTTTTGCTCAAGAATAATGTCTCTAACTCAAAGGTCAAGGTCACACTACTAGATCCATTCTTATGATATAATTATTTTCATAATGCACTGATGTCTTTGTCTGATAAACAATTCTGACATCCCTGGATGGATTTCAAAAATACTATTCATAAATATGTCAGCCATAGTAATGGATCTTGTGCAAGAATCAGGTCCCAGGCATAAATATGTTAGATATGATGATGAAGAGTTGGGTCTTCAGCAGAAAGGTCAAGGTCACTCCTGTTTATCAATAGATGGTTTTCTTTGTGCATAACTTTATTATTCATAGATGGAGCTAATAAATATGCATAATAAGCTGCTTATTAAGATGACATGTAGTGAACAAAATTTATTTTAAAAGCCAAAAGGTCAGGGTCATTCTTGAATGTCAAAAGTCATGAACTGAAAGTGCATTGAAAGTTATTTCTGGTCCAAATCTTGGTTATTCAGTGAAAGAAATCATTTCCCATCCAAATCTTGGTTATTCAGTGAAAGAAGTCATTACCGGTCCAAATCTTGGTCATTCTGGGAATGAAGTAATTTCTGGTCCATATCTCGGTCAATCAGTGAAAGAAGTCATTTCCCGTCAAGAGTTTGCACTAACTTGGCTTAAATATGTGGTTTGTGATGGGTTAGAACTAGTTTGTAGGTTAAAGGTCAAGTTCTCACTAAGACTTGGGTATTGTTTTATAAAAGTACATTGTACATGTCCAGTCATTAATAGTGTCAGTCATGAATAGATTTTGAAATAACTAGGCATACTTTTGTGGCATATTAGGAAACCTTGTCGCATGTAAATGCTAGGTCCACAACTGGAAAGTAGAATACTGGTAATTAGATGTCAAAATAATACAATGATAATTATGTCTGGTTATATCTTTAAAAAATAATTTGGCACACTAAAAATATGAGAAAGTATTTGTATATATTTCTATATTCTTGTTACTTAGTTATAGTAACCATGCCTTTGTTGTAAGTCAAAGGTCATAGTTCCTCAACTGGACCATGCTTTTGTCTGTTGTTAGCAATATTGTCCAATTGAAATTAAATTTAGAAGTCGCATTTTGTTGGCTATTGATTCCTTATTTAAGCTATTGATGAATCGTAAATAGAAAGTTTTTATGCCACTGCAGCATCTGCAATGCGGTGGCATATAGCGATTCACCTGTGTGAGTGTTTGTGTTCTATAGATTATATAGTGAACTTAAAATCTTCTTGTGAAAAACCACTAGCCCAATTTCAACCAAACTTGGCAGGATTGATTCTTGGGTGAAGGGCTTCCAAAGTTGTTCAAAGAATTTCATTCCATGCAGCAATCTGGTTGCCATGGCAACCAAAAGGAATTATAAGAATAAATTAAAAAAATCTTCTTGTAAAGACCCTAGAGCTTAGATATTTTGCATAAGGCATTGTCTGGTAGACCTCTACCAAGGTTGTTCAAATTATAGCCCTGGGGTCAAAATTGGCCCCGCCCCAGGGGTCATTGATTTTCAATATGTACATATAGTAAAAAATCTTATTGTCTGAAGGTACAAGGCTTAGAGCTTTAATATTATTTTGTTGTATGATATCATCTATAGGTACTCTACCAAAGGTGTTGAAATTTTACCTCTAGTGTGTTAAAATTAGCCCCACCCCGGGGGTCATAGGTTTTCCTTTTATGTATATAGTAAAAACTTAAAAAATCAAAGTTGTTTTAATTATGCCCTAGTGTTCAAATTGCCCTGCCCCAGAGGTGATGTATAAAGTAAAAACTTGAAAAATTTTCTTCTCTGAATTGACAAAGGCTAGAGGTTAAATATTTGGCATGAGACTTTGCGAAGTGAACCTCTACCAAGATTGATCAAATTATAACCCTGGGGTCAAAATTGGCTCTGTCCAGGGGGTCATTGATTTTCATTATGTACATATAGTAAAAAAAATCAAAAATATTTTTGTCTGAAGGTATAAGGCAAAGAGCTTTGATGTTTGCTTTATAATATCATCTATAGGTCATCTATACCAACGTTGTTAAAATTTTTCCCCTGGTGTCAAAATTGGCCCTGCCCGGGGGCATTGATTCATATTATATACACATAGTAAAAACAGAAACTAAAACAAATGTTTTCTGAATTGGAGAAAGCTACAGCTTAAATATTTGACATGAAATGTTGTTTGGTGGGCCTGTATCAAGATTGTTTTGAATTAAACCCTTGGGTCAAAATTTTGCCTGAACCTTCTTTATTGTCCTTTGATGCACAGCAATGATTGCAAAGTTTTAGTTGTAAAATTGAACTTTGATATCAGGTAACCTAGATTTTGATGATGTGACCTACTTTCTTGTCCTTCAATGTACAGCTATGAAATTTGAACCATGTGCGCAGATTAAGATGTAAAGTGAACTTTGATATCAGCTGACCTAGATTTTGACAAGGTGTCTTACTGTGTTGTCCTTTGATGTAGTCATAAAATTTAGGCTGTGTGAAATATGACCTTCACCACCAAATTCACTAGACTCAACTGCATGGATATATTCCTACTCTGATCTTTTATTTGAATAACCACAAATCTGATAATAAGAATTAGATAGGTCAGGGATCTATGCATTATGACAATCTTCAATTGTATAGAAACAAAAAAAATCTGTTCCAACACTACTATGAAACTAACCGGAAAATTATTCAGAATCTATGTAAATTTATATATTATGCTAATGTAATGAGAAACTATCAAACATTCTTTAATGTTAAAAGCTCTTCAGAAAACTTATGACAATAATTTTTGTATAAACATAAGTAAAACCCATATATTTCCATTTTATTTCATGTATTGTTTGCTATAAAAATGTTACATGTTTTATGCAATAAATATATTGAATTGAATATTTAGTGTAACAGTTTGTATTAATGTGGTGGCATAGCATTTTTCACAAATGCAATCTTGTTTACTTTTATATTCAAATCATCATCAGTGTTTGTTTAGTAATAGAGGAATGAAAACAAAATTGAATTACTTTGAAAGAAATAGTTGACTTTATTAATGAAACTAATTATAAATGTTCAGTTTTTTATTTGTTTCCTTTAATTGTTAATATTCCAAATTATACCATGTTAACTAGATAAACTACATGATTACACCATTCCTCAAGGTACTCATTGACAAGATTACTTTAATGACAATCTAAAATTAAGACCATCCAATTAATATTGGGTTCTACTGCACATTTCTTTTTTAAATTTTTGACAACTTCAGCTTAAATATGTTTACTTAATTTATCACAGTTCAGTGTATGGAGTGTGTTTGTTATTTTCAGGGACTTGTGTGTGGTAGATGCCGACTGGTTATATGATACAGCACCAACCTATTTCAAAAAGAAAAAACCAGGAGGATAAATTCTTTATTATATATTCTGTTTTTTTTTTGTTTTTTATTAGAAATATTAGAAATAAAAGCATGAATAACTAAATATTGTTTCAATTTGATAGTTTCAAGAAAGAATTTTAATTGATTTTTTTTTACACTCACTTACTTTGTCCTCTCCAATCCCAGTTGTTTATTCAGGAGTGCTCAGTAGGTAAACTTTTATAACTCTTCTTTGCGCTTTAAATTGACAGCTGTGCCCCTTTTTATACCGTCACTACTGGGGTGATGGGTAGGCAGGGGGCATATAGATTTGCCCTCGTCCATACATCCCACTATCACTCTGTAGTGATTCTGGAATGTCCTATAGACACACTTTAGTTTGGAATTTTTTTATTTATTACAACACTTGAAATATATGGATTGTCATCATCATCAAGTTCTTTAGGCAAACTCTTTATTGCACTTTGACCACTTTACACTCTTGAATTTTTTTATTCAAAATAATGTATCAGCTAGATACTCAATTGAAAATGTGTATAGGGGGACATAAACAAAGTTTTTACAGTTACTTAGTTAACATTGAAATCTGAACAGGTTTTAACTTGAAATTTATTCTTGACCAAATTATGCCACCTTTTCATATATGTAATGAACAAAACTTAAAACCCTGCTGCTTAGTTTAAGGAATCATGACAATATCTGATAACTAACAACTAATTACATGTGAATTTTATACATAAGATTTTCATTAATGTCCAACGTGATTTTTGAGTCTGTTATCATTAAGAGCATCTGCTTTGGGACATGGGGATAACCCAATACAATTTACCAGTTTTGAAATGAAGGAATCTGTATTATGCTCTACTTTTTCAAATTTCATCGTTTGTTAAAAAAAAATGTTTTGTAGCAATACTCTCTACTGTATTATTCTTCCTCTGATGTGTTTTAACATAGTAAGTAAGTAAGTAAAGTTTATTTATGTAACATAGGCCTCTGGCCCAAAATACAACATAATACAACAAACATGAAATAGCAATGGTAAAATACAATGAGAAATAAGAAAAAGTTATATTAATTTTTTTTAAAAAGAGCAGTGGCTCTTGTTTATTATTAAATTGAGAAAATGCATCAATACATTGTACTACTTTTAGTTACAATATGGCATCATGTTAACCCAAATGTAATTGGCTTAAATCTTGTTGGATATTAATGGAATTTCTCAAAGGTATTTAATTTTGAACAGAATGTATTAACCTCAATTGATCAATTATTTATTTGTAAGCTAGCTTTTTTCAAAGAAAAAATTCTAGCTATTGCTACAGTCAGGTTGTTGTTGCTGTCCAGAAACTTTAATGTTGGCCATTTTTTTTTTTTTCATTTCTAAATATTTTTTTAGCTTACCTGTCACAAAGTGACAGGAGTGAGCTTTTGTGATCGCTTTTCGTCCGTCGTCCGTAAACTTTTACTTTAAATGACATAAACCACTAGGCCAATTTCGTCCAAACTTCACAGGAATGTTCCTTTGGTGGTCACCTTTGCAAATTGTTCAAAGAATTTAATTCCATGCAGAACTCTGGTTGCCATGGCAACCAAAAGAAAAAACTTTAAATATCTTCTTCTAAAAAACCCAAAGAGCTAGAGCTTAGATATTTGGCATGAAACATCTTCTAGTGAGTGTCTACCAAGTTTGTTCAAATAAAAGCCCTGGGGTTTAAACTGGCCCCGCTCTGGGGGCCTATATACAGGTGAGCGACTTCAGGGCCATCATGGCCCTCTTGTTCATTTCTAAATTGATTGTCTTCATACTTTGACACAACAAGACTTTCAAGTAAGCCAGACTTAACTTTACCTTGACTCATTAATGACCTTCACCTTAAGGTCAAATGTTTGAATTTTGCTTGATTTTTGTGTCGCCTCTACGGAGTAGTGGTCACTTCTCCGTCGTCTGTCTGTCCGTCCGTCACAAAACTTGTCCGGACTACTTCTCATAAACTACTGGTGCAATTTCATCAAAACTTTACAGGAATGATCAGTACCAAGTCTAGTTGTGCATATTGTCAGCATTTTCCGGTTCAATGATTTTTGTCAGAGTTATGGCCCTTTAATAATTTTTATTTTTAAAGTTTGTCCGGACTACTTCTCTTATACCACTAATGGAATTTCAATGAAACTTTATAGGATTGATCTGTAGCTCAAGTCCTTGCGCATATTGCACGGGCTTTCTGGTTGAATGATTTTTGGCCGAGTTATGGCCCTTTGATAAAAAGGTGTTTTTTTCTGTGTTGCCAGATACACAAAAGCTTGTCCGGACTACTCCTCATAAACTACTGGTGCAATCTTATCCAAACTTTACAGGAATGATCAGTACCATGTCTAGTTGTGCACTGTCCGTCTGTCTGTCCGTTTGTCACAAAATTTGTCCCAACATGAAATTGGCCATCATGAGGCGACACATGTGATTACTGATCGCTCTTGTTCTATAAAATGGCTACAATAGTTATTTATCAATGGGTTGTCTTCATACAACACAACAATACTTTGGATGATAACCTTTAAGACCAATTGATTAAGACTTTGAACTTGAAAGTCAACTAAATGAATATTTGTAAATTTCTGCTATAATTAGCAAAAACTATTATTTATGAATGGATTGTCTTCATACAACAAGCCTTTGGACAAGACCTCTAAGTAGACCAAATTGATTATGGCCTTCACACATCAATGAGCTTGATGTCCTGTCTTGGTTGCATGCAGGTGTCTGCTTCTGTCTACACCTTTTCAGAATGTCAAGATGCTTAATAACTAGAATAAGCAATACAGTGATCCAAAGACGTTTAAAGTATTTTCTCCATTCTCACAGTGACAGTCGATAATTTTGAATTTGATAAGGAAACATAAACACAAACACAAAATATGTTACCATGTAAAGTTATTTAAGAATTTATTTTTACAGTAAAGCAAGCTATCAGCATATATACACACTTTCATATCAGTTCCTCACCATGTTTGATTATACTTAAGTTAAGCATAAGGAGTTGTTCAATAATGACAACACTTTTGAGGACACTGACAAGGAGAATATAAACACATAATACTCAAAATATTTGAAATTTTAGAACACTAAGAATTCTGGAAAAACAATCACAGATGGAAAAACAATTATTTTTATAAAATAAACACACAAATCTGAATAGGCATAATAATAAAATATAACAATATTATGAAGGTAAGAAAACAGATTTTTTTCAAAAATTTTATTAGAAAAGCACATGAAGAAATTTACAATATTTTTGCATATAGATCTACAACTAATATTTTGTGAAGGACGTGTTGTGTGTATTATAAGAAAATAAAATAGATATGTGAAAAAATCTCAGTTTAAATTATTTTTAAATTTCTACCAAGGGCTGTCACAATGAAAACATTTTGTTACTATGTTGCTATAGAAAAATATATTTTTCCCCCAAACTATTTGTTCATATGCAACTGAAAAGGTTATTTTCATCAATTGCATATTTTAAAGAATTTTTTTAAAATTTTTTTTTTGGTATCATAGCACACACACAAAAATGATAATATAAAAAATTAAAACATTATACGAGGAATAATCAAAAATAAACCGGAGTTGGACTGTCAATTTAAGAATTACTTATTGTTATATATCAAACTTAATCGGAAAACTATACCTGTAAACTGACACTATATCTAAACTGATTCAAAAACCATGGTAACGCACAAATGATTAAGAAAGGGTCATATAGAAATGAAAAACAAGGGAGAAGCAAAAAGAAGAAATTTCAAAGAAGGTTGGTGACATTAGTCGCCAAGACATTGAAAAATGATAGTAGATTGACTGCGACCATTGTCAACGATGTTCAACAGTAGCAACGGGACGGTACAGTTAACTATTATTAAGGATTTTAAAATGATAATTGTTATATTGCATATATTATATTCTTTTTCCAGATGATTTATTCTAAACCCTAAATACACCTTTAATGTTGAAGATATAATATTCCCTTCACCAACAGTAATAATAAAAATAAATATACAAACAAAAATGATGTGTAGATATAACTTTTTATATACAATGTATTAACCTGAAAATAAAAATAAAATGTAAACAATTTATAATGTCATAAAACAAGCTGTATTGATCATGCTATTCCTGCCTTGTTTCACTTTTCTTCAACTTTTAACCGCCTCCGTGGTCGAGGGGTTAGAGTCGATGACTTCTAATCCAGTTACCTCTCTGGCGTGGGTTCGATCCCCCGGAGATGCTTTGGTAGTTTAGCGCGGAGGAAGGTTGTCTAGTACTGGTGTAACTCTCCAGGAAAGATGGTTAGGAAACTACCCGCCTATATGACTGAAATACTGTTGGAAAAAGGCGTAAAATGAAACAAACAAACAATCTTCAACTTTTTTCTCAAATATTCCTGGAAGGACTAGCACAAGTGGCAAAATCTTTGAAAGCATTGAAGGAAAAATGGAAAAGTCAAAGTGAATAACCATTTTCTTGTCCAGGAACATGGTGAAGTAACTAAAACACTATCATGTATTGCAAGCAGAAACAATTTTTTTACATGTTTTATGATCATTGAAAGATGATGTGTTTCTACACAGTGAGGAAAAACAAGTGAGGATTAATGTTGGTCATCAATACAACACCATAATTGACTTAACAATGAAAATACAATATATATGTCTATAATACAGCATTCTAGGCTACATCAAAAAACTACTTCCGCATTACCGGTAATCTAATTAAAATTTGAAAACAATGAAATTTTTACATGAATATTGTGTTGTATGTTACATTATCATACAGGATATATACTGATTAACATTATCATTAAATATATTCATACCTTGAATTTCCAATAAAAATGTTTTTCTTGTATTTCTCACTTTTGAATATTCAAGAGAGTTGCAATTATTTCTTCTTCCTAAATTATGCACTTCTTACTATATTTACAAGATAAGAGAAGATTTGTGATTGAGATTTAGATCACTACATACCCAAGGGCAACATGTCAAGGCTGCTGTCACATCTGACCTTGGGTAATGACCTTGAGCTTTGATTTAGTTAAACATTCTTCCAAC